TACGCCAGGAACCTCATGACCTTCGACTTTGGCTTCAATCCCGACGGAGACGTCTCAGCAAAGCGGGTGCACCTGATGCTGAAGGCCATTGAGGCATCCTTTGACTTGCTCCTTATCTCTGAGTACTTTGATGAGTCCATGGTGCTGCTGAAAGAGATACTGTGCTGGGACCTGGACAGTGTCGTGTCCTTCCCACTCAACAGCAGGGATAGCAGTACCAGGTCCCCCCTCTCAGACAGCATGGTGGAGAAGATAAAGAACTGGAACAGGCTGGACTGGGAAATCTACACCCATTTCAACAAGACCTTCTGGGAGAGGATTGATCGAGATATCGGCAGGGAACGCATGCAGCGGGAAGTAAGGGCACTTCAGGAGAGGCAAGCAGAGCTGGCAAGGATCTGCCTGCAAGGAAGAGGAAGCGTAGCCCCTAAAGACATCAAGGACTCTTCCCTGCTGCCACTGCAATATGGCAATGCCAAAATCTTAGGCTATAACCTCAAGCAGGGCTTGGACAAGAAGACGGAGCACATGTGCCGGCGGCTGGTGACGCCAGAGCTGCAGTACAGCAGCGCTTTGTACAAGAAACAGTTTCTCCAGACCCAGAAGCCAGTTTCCTCACTGCAGGGCACACAGCAGGGCAACACCTTCAGGGGACCTGCAGCATAGGCTGGAGGGAACCCAAAACTGAGCGACCTTGTCCTCTCCAGGCCTCATTCTCCAGCTCTCTGCTGAGTACAGCAAGGCACCAAGCTGCCGTGCGCCTGCCCAGCCACTGGGAGGGAGCCTGAGCTGCTGCTCACCTTGTGTGCTCTGGGGTTTAAGTAAGGGGTTTCTTTCCCCCAGGGAGCAACCAAGTTGGCAGGCTGGTGACTACGAGATCTGCCAGAGCCCCTGGAAACCTCCGTCTCTGCAGGATTATGCAAGTCCTTGGGTGTTACGCACTGCTGTTGCTGCAAAGCAGGGCGGGCCTCAACAGAGGCTCTGCATGGTGGTGGGTCCCAGGGGCTCACCTGGACAGGACTCTCCTGGGGTAGGTCCTGAACAAACAGGGCAGGAATCCCTGACTCACAAACCAAAGCACTGGAGGAGCCAATCCAGGGGATGCAAGCAAACAGAGCAGATGCCAGGAGGCTTCAGGCTGTAGCAGAGCTGAGGACAGCTTGGTGGGGGGGGGGGGGGGGGGGGGGGGAGAGTGGGAGAAAGGGCAGGCTGCACTCAGCCAAGTCCCCCATCATAAGGCTGCTTGTCACAGCAAATCAAACCACAGCTCTCCACTGGAGGGTGTATGCTGTTCTCTGATGCCTCTGCCAGAGTGCTGTCTATTCTGTTACACATACGATGTTTGAGAGGAATTAAACACAAGGCACGTGAAAACACCACAAGGAGTCCCGTTCTTACCCTACAGACCAGGGAAGCGAAGTGTAAGCTACACTGCCCCTTCCTGAAGTATTTCATACCACTAGGCAAGGCCCCCCCCCCCCCCCAGAGAAGCTGTGCCCAACCTTAGGCTTTGTGCTTTGTAGCACTAACTGCATCAGTTAAGGAGCAAAGTCAGCAGGATAACCATGCAGAGGCCAGTCCTCGGAGGTGATGTCCTCCACAGGCAGCTCAGTATTGTGCCAGATGGCATAGTTCATGTGGAAGGCAGAGGAAAATGGCTGGGGCTAGTCCTGCTCCCAGGCATCTACATTTGCATCCATCTGCATAGCAATTTCCAACCACCTTCTCCAAATATGCAATAGGGTACAGTTTCAGCTGATGGCTGGTGTCACCTTCTCATTGTGACAGCTGCCTTTTGCCAGGTGCTTTTGGTGGCTGGAGGTTGCGATGGCTCGCCAACTTGGCAGCAAGGGACAGTGCTCCAACACACAGAGCCAAGCTATAAATCAGACCAACACAACCAAGCAGAGCTTGATTTACAGTTTGGGAATCCCTCTGTCTGTCCAGCTGCAGGTCTTCTCCACTAAGCCTTAACATTACTGTGCTGGAAAAGCAGCTCCTCGTTAATTAAAAATAACAATATTTACCATTACTCCTATCAAATTCCCCTTAATTACATCGGTCTTCCCAGTTGATGATCTCCACAGCAGCCCAAAAGAAAGACACCTCAGACATCTGGAAACTCTGTTCTCACCCAGCGGGTGGGTATCAGCCTTCTTTCCCCGACTCTGTGATTATGTCCTGATTGCAGATGCTGAGCTAGTACAACATGTTTATATAGGATAAGCTCACAAGCCACACTGAGATGGCAATACCAGACTGCTAGTTAAAATAGACACGAGTCAGGGAGCTGTCTTGTGAACATTTCAGTTGCTGAAAATACCAACCCACCACTTGGAGCATTTGTAGGAATATTCTATACTCTTCTTGGGAAAGGTACCAAAAGAATTGGTCATGGTGGGCTAGTCAACCTTATTTTTCACTTCCCACACTTATCCTCAAATCAAAAGCAGAGCTGGGCAAACTAGTTTGGATTAAATGGAGATCAAACTCAAACCTCAAATCATTTTCCTTATAAGCTTTTCAGAGCTTTGTACTTTCATGGCTTTGCTCTGGGCTCTGCAGTATCAATCTGAAACATCTCTAGAGCCAAATAGTATTTTTTGTGTCAGAAAAAAATGACAAATCCTGGAAATCTAACAAGGAGGCCCCATCCCAAGATTCTCAGCTTGATTTCCAAACCAAAGACGTTCAGAAAAAAATTGCTGTGGATCTGAGCTTTTCAAGCTTTCATTTGGCCAACTATACAGAGCCTAAAAAGTTTTGGTTTCCATCCAAAGATGCCCTGGCCCCCACTGAAAGCTCACATTTTAACCAGGATAAAGAACAAACTGTGTTCCCAGCTGCCCTTTCCCAGAAGAGACTGGGTGGTGCAAAGTTTCCAGCTGGTCATGATACAGAGGTTGGTCTAGGGTACTGGTGGGATACTGGTTTTGTTTGCTGCGTTATTGCCTGGGCATTGTTTGTTCCATAAATTTTCACCTCTAAGGTGCCTTCAGGTATTGTTGCATTGGTTGCTTCCCTGATTTCTGTTGGCAGGACTCACCATTTCCAGTGGTCTAATTCCTCGCTCGATTCCTGGGCTTTGATCTCCAGCTCATCCCAGAGGGCAATCCCACAAGTGAGCAAGAGAGGCAGGCAAACTACAGAAAACACACCCTAGGCTTGTTCTCCATAAACCCGAAAGGGAAACATGGAGAATCAGGGCTGACATATGGGGCAGAAGGCACCACTTGTCCAGGTACCAAACCTGGATCTGTCACATTCACAGGCTCTTAATTCATTCAAAATTTCATACAACTTAATCAGGTGCCATTTCCTTATTCACTGTTCATAGTTAAAATGAATAGGACCAGATCTTCCCTGCTGTGGCAAGGGAAGAGTCTTTGAAGGGAGGAACAGGTCCCTGGCTCCCCCAAAACAGAATGGCAGTTTTTACTCCAACTCAACCAGCTCAGTTCCTACAGAGGCAACCCAGATAAGGGACCCTTTTATGGCCACGGTATCATGTTCCCCTGTGTCCACTCACTCCCAGAAGGGCTGTAGAAGGAGCATGGCCAACACTGCCTAGGCCTCCACTAGGAAACTGAGCGCCTAGCCAGGGAGGAGAGCAGGAGCAATAAGAGATCCAGGGAAGCCCAGGCAGGAGCAAGGGTTGGCTGCACATGCCAGGGAGTGAAATGCCATGATTCAGGACAACCAAGCACAATGCTGCACTCAGCAGTGCTGAAGCTGGAAGTTCAGATGCTTCTATGCAGAATTTTTCAAAACATTTCATGCAGAATTGGTATTTTGTTGGTTTTCGCCCACTCAGCGCTGGAAGCATTTCTGCAATCAGTCAGATTCCCTGCTCAGTGGAGATGTCTCTCTTTTTCTCTACCCTCCTGAAATCTCCAAAGATCTCGTGAGGCTGCAGGCCTGAGCCCTCAGGGAACGTTTTATACAGACAGCAACTGGATCCACACAGCTACCTCTGCATGACTACCAGGGACTAGGTGGTTTTTAAAAGAATAGACATCATTTATATCCTAAATGCAGCTTACAACAGATTCTTGCTTGCCCCAAAGGGAAGGCAAGACTTCTTTTCACAGGGGATCCCTGAGATTACAATACTCATGAAAGTTGAACATATGCAGAGCTGCTCCTACCTCCCCACCACCAAGCAGGACTCACTTCACATCCCATTAATGTCTTGTCAGGATGGTGGGTTCAGCCTTCTGCTGCTTGCTCTGTGCAGAGCAAGTGACATATGGGGCATAGCCAGTTAAGAAATCTCTTTGGTGTCTCCTGTTCAGAGAGGTGTGCACTGGAGATGGGCTTAGCTCATCCTAAACGGTCACATCCAGCACAGCTCAGACACAGAGGAGCCTTGTCGCAATTTTGATATCACATCTTCCAGAAGCCACAGTTCACTCATCTACTTGCCCAAAAACCCCGCAGAAAGTTTCTTAGGGACCCCCCAGCAAGCTCAAAAATCACTGCTCTGCACCAGCAAACTGGGAGCTGGCTCTGTTGCAAAAAACTGCAGGATGGGGACAGTTGTACGAACCAAGAGGTTTTTCCTTCCAGGAGCATGGTTTTGTACTCTGGCATTACACAAAATAACTGAGAGTGAGAATTGACAAAACAAGCATCTTTGCTTTGGAAGATATGTATCACTTACTCACCCACAACAGGAACCCCACAGTGCGCGTTTCCAGAGTGAAACTAAACCCATGGAAAAGCAGACCAGGAGAACCAGGAACTCACCTGTTCTCAGTGCTCTCCATCCAGCAAGAAGGCAAGGGGTGTGGAACCACAAGGAAGATCGTGTGAGGGTTGTTATCCTGTGGACAGTTTTTCCTAATCCAGCGTTATGCAAACAGTCAAATGGGTGAGAAACGGCAGGGAGCAAGCAAGCGAGCTGGGAAGGATCAGATTTCTTTATTTTTTGCTCAGTAGCTGAGGTATGGCAAGCAATGACACCTTTCACCTAAAATGTTTTTAATCATTATCTCACTAACCACAATTTTATCATTAGAAATATTTCATTTAGATACTGAGAGGAGCCCATGGCTGGATCCCCCTGACAATCTGCAAGCGCACACACATATCTGATGGGTTGTTAAAAGAAATAATAAATCAGAACATTTAATGCACCGTTTCTTGATGCCTTGCAGCTCACCAGCAGCACATGAAACACAGGCTGAACAACATCTACTTAGGGGAGGAGGGTGTCTAAATTATGACTACATCCAGTACAGTTACTGGTTTTTGTTCTCTTTTTATAACTGCAACAGACACATTCAGATTATTTCAAGTGTTGAACAATGCAATAAACTGGAAGTTGCTCAAGCATACCCATGTAATGCCTCTCAGTTCCTGTACTCTTCCGGAATACGTGAGACAATGAGCAATTTATGCAAATATATTTGTTTTCCCTATTGAGCCAACACTGTATACTTGAAACTTTCCAGGCTCACCAGCCTTTAAAAAAGCCATTTTTGATGAAGCCTAAGGGATTCAGATATCCTGTCAAGGTCACCTTGTCCAAATCCCACAAGATGCTTTAAAAAGCTCATCCTGCAGCTGTACTTGTAGTGGTGATCACATAGATAGGACTGGTGCTGGGCAAGATGCACAGTGCCTGCACACCATATCACAGCCTTTGGGCCTGCAATGTGGCCAGCTTAGTCCAAAGGGCTGCAGCAAGGGGCACACATCCCATGGCAGAGCTGAGGGCCTGAGCATGCCAAATCCCCTGTGCTTTCTCCTCCATGCCAGGAAACCCCTTCCCATCACAGGGGCTGCAGAGGCCTCCCTGAAGGCTACGTGCAGCTCAGACGCTTGCCTCTGAGTTGCTCTTCTCCCCTTTTTTCTTCTGCCTCTGTTCTCTGCTATCTCCAGACACACGCGCCACCCTTGCCTTGGGTATCCTATATTTGCTCTTCTGACTGTAAAGCAGGTTTTTCTGGAAGAGTCTTGGGATGTTCCCTTGGTATAGCAAGAGGGCAGCAAGCATCCCTGAAATGAGAGGAGGCCGTTTCCTTTATTTTGAATACACCCCTTCAATGTGCAGCATCACACATGACCACCCTCCCCATGGCTAAGCAATTATTTTAAGACCCTTGCCACAATGCTGCTCATGATCAAAAGCCAGCTCAGCACAACGAAAGCCCCCACTAAGAGTAGCTAAAAGGCCCTTGCTACGGTACTTTAAGGATAGTTCAACCATCATCTCCTAAAAGTAAAAGCAAGGCTTGTTTTGACTCAGAAGGGTCAAACCACACCAGTTCTTTGACAGTGGTCTTCTGCTTTCTGCATTCCAGACAGCAAGTATCCAGTTCATTGTGGTCTTCCTGAGACTGCAGACAACCTCAATAACATAGCTCAACCTATCATTTCCTAAAACATCTTAGCTTGATTCTCCCCAAGGGTGGCAGACTTTGGCCTGAGAGAGATTTTGTTCATTTTGGCTATGTTCCATGTAGGATTTGGATAAAATATAGTAAAAGCATGACTCAAGTGACAGGAGAGGGATAAGAAAAAGGGCATTTGCCATAGGCAAGACTGACGTTCAGCCCTTCGTCAGGAACAGTTTCTACCCTCTTACAGGCCACCAGCAGACACAGAAGTACCCAGTCCTCCCTAAACCTCCCACCCCAAACTGTCCTTTGCACTTTGAAGCAGTACCTCCTGGGCAGATCTCACCTGCAAGGGGCCCCAGCCAGTAAACTTGGATATACTCCTGCAGGCTGCTCCCTGAGCAGTGGAAGGTAACAGCCATGGCAAGGACAGGGTTGAAAAAAGCCCCTGTGAATGGCCCAGCTGCATGGGAAAGAAGCAGAGCAATCAGTCTCACTCACATGTGTGTAATTTTAAAGACTTGCACTGATAAGGACTATTGCATTAGTGGCAGCGTCAGAGCAGTCTTGTTTCCATACTGCTCTGGAAACAGATCCCCCACCTCTCCTTCTCTAACCTCACATTCAGATTGCTCTTGTTCCGCCTTTCCAGGACCTGCTCTCCAGAGAGCTGCCCACCATTCCCACCTTCCCGTCCATATCCAGTGGGGATGCGGGGATGCTTCCAACCCTCTCAGTAGCTCACTAAGCCACTGGTGCCTTAGCAGCTTGACCAAGCCAAGTACGGTGGATGTACTAAACCTCAAGCAGTGGGGTCCAGGAGATCTGCAGGGAGTACATTTGCAACCCAATCCGCCTTGCAGGAGAATCTGAAAGCTCCATGCCGGCTGCAGACTCCACAGTCCTCTGCTAGCTAGCCCCAGGTGTTGTGTCTCTTTGACTGTACAACAAGGGCAGCCAAAGGCCCCACTGGCAAATCCCACCCTTGTTGCCCTGGCTCTAAGCTTTACAAAGAAACACTAAGAGCTCATCAGTGCATCACAGAGGGGTTGCATCAGGGGAAATTCAATGACTGCACTCCCAGAGTCTTTGGGCAAGCTACAGCTTTGCTTGTGCCTGCTCTTCACTTGTGAAATGGGGCTGAGAATTTTACCTGCCTCACTTGGGGAGAACTGAGCCAGTTGGGGCAGCAGTGAAGAGCCACAAAAGTGCAAGAGGAGGGAGGCATTCTCTAATGTTTTCCATAGCTGCCACTTACAATCCATGATGTCCCTCAAGACCTCTAGCCTGGAGTCATGCTAGTTTCAGCATAGGCTGCCTGCTGCCTAGATCTCCTAAACAGTTGTCTTCATCCAAAAGGAATACTCCCCAAAATGAACAGAAAACAAACAGTTTAGTAATCACCATCTCACAATTCAAGTCCTGGGTCTGGACTGTTCCTTCCCCACAAATGAGGTTTTTTTCTGACATTTTCTGTCTACATGACATTGTAGAAAACAAAAAAGTTACTCACCTACATAAGCCAGGAAGGTAACAGTCGCTGCCAGGGCAGGGACCCGGTACATTGGGCAACTGTGGTGGAACTTGAGAATTACTAGATGGAAAAGAAAAGAGCAGACACCTTCCACAAAGACACCATGAGACAATGACGTATGGAGGGAGGAACTGCACTCCAGAGACATTAGATTCTGGATGAGGTGGAAATCCGACAGCTCCCAGGACCAGTAGTACTTGGTGATAACCCAGCCTATGCCCATACCTATAAACTGGGCGAGAAGCTTGGCAGCAGTTGCTGCTAAGCTGGAATCCAGGACCAGGAATTCCTGGAGAGAGACAGTGGGATTAGCAGATGCTCCATCAAATGAGGCACCATGAGCCACAAAGAGAAGGAAGAGCAGAGTCAGGGCCACATCTGGGCCAAAGCCACCACCCCACAGGCCAATCTCCATCAGCATCCTCAGTTCAAGGCAGCCTGCACACAACTGTAATGAGCCAACAAGTTCTCTGGCAAGACAACAGTATGCTCCAAGAGACAGAAGTCTTTTGGAAAGCTGCCTGACTACCTCGCAGATGCCTACAGTCAGGAAAAGAAAAGCAATAGAAACATTCAAGCCTGCCATAGCAAAGGCCGCACAAGAGAGAGTGGACCGCTTTCACCAGCCAAGAAGGCTGGGAAAGCTTGTGCACCTCCTCTTTATAAAGCTATATTGAAGCAAACGTGGCATAGCCTGACAGGCACTCAGTCAGCTGCCAAGGGAGTCCTTGTGAAAAGCCGCACATGCTGCCCTCCAAACTGAGGGAGCTGCCAGAATGTCACCTACAATATCACCTGCAAAAAATATTGGTGGCCTGCTCCTCTTTATCAGCCAAAACCTCCTCCCCCATCAGAAAGAAGACATCCTTCAGGTCAAAGTAACCTCTCCTTCATGGAGCAATGCTTGCTGTGCACTGCACTGAGCTGGTGGACTTATCTGCTGCTAGATCAGCAGACAGCTTCCTGTTTGGTGCAACAAGATCTATGTGTCACCTCCAACTAGGAGTTACTGACTGCTCCCCCCTTACCCCCCCCACCCAACATTTTTCTCCGAGGAGTTTGTCGCAGTTCTCTGCAGTTGTTCAGGTTTTAAACAGGGAAGAAAAAAAATAATTTTGCTCTCACTGGAGACTATAAAATACAATTTACTCCCCCCTCCCAACCCCTACCAAGCCTGGGAAGCAAAGGAAAGACAGGGTGGGATGAGCAAGCCTTGCTCAGACCTTGCCAGAGGGGGAGGCAGGAAGTCTCCCCCAGAGGAGGAGGAGGACATCTCTCCTTTGCTGGCCTTCCCCCTGGCATTCAAGAGAAGGCTCACAGCGCTGCAGCAACAGAGCACAGAGGTCCCTGAAAATCAGCTCCTGAATTTCACCCCCCCTCCTTCCAAAATAGGTCGGGGGAGGGGGAAAAACCCTCAAAGACAATTCAGCAGCTCCAAAGTGTAGGAAGGTGGGACCTTGAGAACAGTGCTCTGACCCCTTACAGAGGTATGTTTGCCAAATCTGTTTTTAAAGTGCTCTCTTGACAGGCATCCCCCCACCCTTAGTAAATCTATTCCAGTGCTTCATCACCTTACATTAAGAAGTTCTCCTTCATGTCTAACCTGAACTTCTCCCTGAAACTTCAGCTGGTGACTTCTAACCTTATCCCAATAGATCTGTGATCAAAAACAAGTGACCTTCTCAGTTGCTGGCATCTCTCCTGAAACAGTGCTCCACACTAGAAACAACGCTCCAGCAGGACTCCATCATGCCAAGGGCCAGAAGAGCTGGTAAATGTTCCTCTTGTCTGTACATCCTGCCGTAACATTCACTCTGCAACACGCAACTCAACTTACATCCATTAGCTGGCAAGCTCATCCCCTTCCATTTCAACTGCATTCAGCCTCTTGCAGACCGCTTCTTTGCTTTGCCAAGATCACTTCAAATCCTCTAGTCTCTCTTTCCAACATGCAGCTCTCTCCATATGGGTGACATCTACTTAATACATGCTCTGTGTACTGTAATCCAGGTTGTGAACACGTAACTGTGACACAATTCTACATAGACTTTCTGGGGGCCCCACTTAATACATCCTTGACAACGAATCCTTGATGGTTACTCAGGGATGACTGTTCAGTCAGGGTTGTTATACCCTTTCTTCCCACCTAAGTTTTTCTTTCAGATTTTTTCTTACCACCATTTATGAAAAGGTGAAAGAGAATAATTAAAATAAACATTTACTAAAGCTGACATCCATTGCTCTGTTATAGCTTATTGACAGCTTATTTGGACAGTTTGTTGGTGACAAATCCCTTCTGACAGTATTTTTCTCCCTGTCATCTTCCAGGTGCTCACCAATTACTTGACTCAGTATTTTTATGACAATGGAAGTAGAAATTAAAATACATAGCTTTCCTGCTTTTTTTTTTTTTTTTTTTAAGATGAGAGCAACAGATTTACCTTTTTTCCAGCATTTTGGGCATACTCAAAGGTAGCACAGAATCAGGATAAGCCACAGAGAATTTCATCAGCTTCAGTGAATTTGAAAGCCTCATTTGCTTCATGTTCCCTAGACTCTGCCTGAGTAAGATCTCACCTTGTTTGTCACTGGCACGAACCGCACTTGCCATTTGCTGCAGGCAGCATTTTAATGACAATGAAGGGAGGGGAAAAAAATTAATTTCAACACTTCCCGCTGATAATACACATACCAGGGACAGGATCCAAGACACTTTCCCAACTCAACAGGCAGTTACAGAATGGCTGTTGCTATCATAAATATAGGGAATATTTCTTGTTAAGAGAATATGAGAAAAAAAAAAGTCATGGTTTCATTATTACCTGACTTTTGAAACCCAAAACATCTTTAACACATTTGGCTTAGATCTCTGAACACATGGCAGATTTGCAAATGCACAAACAAAATGCACAGTTGCTCCATGCCCAACTCCAGAGGTTGAGTTCTCTGCCCCAGCTACTGTCAGGGGTTACTGGTGACACACAGACTCCCACTGATTGCAGGGTCTGTAGAAAGAAAGGGGACAGTGAGTGAAGGAAAGAACAGCAGCAGCACAGAGTATACTATGTTGGGTATACTATGCCCACAGCAAAGCCTGTTCCCTTGCCCTGGCACAGGAAGCAATAACAGGCAGACAGATTCCTTTCACTGTGCAATCAACAGCTTAACACACACAAGGAATGCAAGGAGCCAGAATCCAACAGCTTTTATTTATTCAATTTTATTTTCCCTCTAGTAGTTTAAAAAAAGAAATCTCCAGTAGACACAGGTTTGACTCAAAATTGAGACGAGGATTAGGCACTTAATGCAGTTCAGCACGGCTGCTTCGTTAGTGTGGCAACACAGATCCCAAAAGAATCGGGGATGCTTCTAACACACTGGAGCTGCTTGGTCTTTCTCCCTTACAAGCCTTACCGCAGCAGAGAGAAAACAAGACATTGTGGTAAAGGCACATCAGGGCATTTTGGAGGTTTTCTGTGGAGGTCACAGACAACCTCAAATCTCTCCTTCTTCCAACTCCTAACAGCAATCGCAGCACTTCCTCTCATTTCAATCTCACTCCTGCTAGTCATTTCTATCACAAAGTGCCCACCCGACAGTGCTTTTGGTAAGGTACCTGGTCCCTAGTGGCAGCAGCACACAGCACTTGCGTTGGAAATCTTTACTAGCCAAGCAGTGAGAGAGATCTGAATACCCCATCCTCCAAGGCCGCAGACCTTCCCACCAAATCTGCCCTTTCTTGGTTTGCCTGCCCCAAAACATCACAATTTTACAAAGGGCAACCTACTTCTGATCCACACTGTACACGGAGTAGCACTCATTCAGAACACCCAGCTCTACTGCACTGGTTTAAACTTCCAGTGTAAGCACAGCCATTGAGGAAGGGTCATACAGATCAACAAAAATGGGTTTTAATGCCCCCTCCTTAAACCAAAACATTTTCAACCATTGCTACAAGAAAAAGTCACACAAGGATAGACTGCCACCAGCTAGCATCTAAAAAGCAAGTAAACTCTCTTCCCCTTCCTCCAAGAATCACAGCTATGACATAGAAAACCATTTCATGGCATACATGCTAAAACTGAAAAGGTAAGAATCCAACATCTGTTCATTCCCATGGGAACCTATTTAACCTCATTCCTCTTCAAGCGCTTTAAAAGTAAAACCGTGTTGGGGCTTAGGAAGCAACTATTCAGAGGTCTTTAAAAACTATTTCCTGTAAGCAGCCTGCAATTATGCCCATGGCGCACCCTGCAATTGTATGACACTTAAGCCAGGCTTGAGAGAGGATCTGGAAACATTTGCTCAGGAATATAACTGCCAGATCAAATAATGACAGTGATTAAGATATGCAAACAGCTGGTTTACTCCCATTAAATTTGTGCTGGTTTTTGCTAGGGATTTGATTAAGAGCAACGGATCAGAGTATTCTGCACTGGAGGAGTTCAGAGCCCAGGGCCCAATCTTTACTAGATTCGCTGTCCATTTTCCTGCAACATTGCTGGATAAAAAGAAGCACTTGAGATGAACAGAAGTTGTTTTCTTCCAACTCTTTTCCAAAAGCACTTAAAAACAAAAAACAAAACAAAACAAAAACACGTCTGGGACATCAGTTTCTTTTCTAAACCAAATTCGCTCTTAAGGTTGTCAAGAACTACAACAGCTTCAAAGTCAGATTTTTTTACAAGCTTATTTAAGTCAAACGGTGGTGATATGCACAAATGGAAAACGGTACTGGCATTTCCACAGACAGTTCAGTAACATAAACACTCTCCAAAAACACTGAAGGATAAGGATACCTGAACTGTAACACACTAGCTCCCCCTACCATGCTATTTTCACTCTCAAATAGGTAATGATAGGTTATTTAAGACAAGTTTTACTGGGTAGGAAAATTCTTCTCCCAAACCCAGCAGCAGCTCCACCTGTGATCAGGCACTGTGATGAGATACCAGAAACTTGCAATCAGGTTTCCTCATATGCACAAGCATCCTGACACCCATCTACAGGCAGCAAGACATAAAAAAGGGGTCAAGTACAGCCACGATCCATTTGGCTTTGTACCAAAACCTAAATCCTTAGAACAAACATTCTCTAGGAGGAAAAGTTAAGAGATGTATGCTACTTGCCTCTGGAAACCTTGAATTCAAGGGAGAAGTCCATCCCTACTAACAACCAGCTCACATTTAGAAGATTGCTGTACCCAGTAAGGAAAAAGAGCATCTATCCCCCCATCACCTCCAAACATCCCATAAGGGATGCAGAGAACAATGCAAAGGTTTTGCTCTCCTCCTACTCCAGCACGGGAGATGCTATTAGCAGAAACATCACTCACCAAGAAACACCCTTATCTGAACCAAGAGATTCAAATACTTGGCGATGGAGAACATATTCTTTTTTTTTCCCAGTACACTGGAGTTTGTTCTGAAAGACACAGAAGCTGCCAACACAGAGAGCACTTTACTACTGTTTGATTTTGAGACGTTAGATCTTTTCAAAAACCTAAGAGTTATCCTGAGCCAGACTCCTTCCTCCTAAGCCTTTCAGAAAACACCAACAGTTTGAGTTTATGCACTGAAGCATCCTGCGCCTGCTATTTCAGCCAGTCCCATCCTCCTTTCTACTGCTTCAATGCATCTTCTCCAAATCATTGATAGTGCCAGAGAAATTTTTGAGGAAGCAGAAGCCTGGCAGCTTTTTAGTATCCTAAAGAGAATGAACAATCACTGTCAACTTCCGATTGGGCAAACCCCATCAAAAACATCATTGGTCCCTACCCGCTGTCTCAATAACCAGGTCAACAACAGGTAAATGGATTCTGAAAAAGTTGCAATGTGCTGGAAGATATTCTCCCTTCAGATACTGGCTGACAGACAGGAAAGAGAAAAAGCAATACCATCACTGCAATGCTATAGGTAAGAAAAGACAGCATGAAAAGCTGCACTTCTGCTACCCTCCTCCTTCACAACAGATTGCAGTTTCCTTTCCCGGTAGCCAAGCTATAGTGAAATTATAGTCAGAAGTTCACTGTTTTCACTTGCTATTTCTCCTCAGAAAATGCTTTCTCAGGTTGGAGTTCCAAGGAGCGGAAAGAACGCTCTTGGAAAAATCTGCTTCGTCCACACATCTGGAGAGCAACCACCAACATAGCTGAGCTGAGTGAAGTTTCACATACCTTTTTCACGTGACCTTTTTCATAGGACATCATCACGCCCAACCAGGATGACTATTTTCACTAAGAACAACCTTCACGGAGATTCAAGTGATCAAACATGCAGCAGAACGAAAGTTTTAAGAACAGGAGGGAAAACAGTAGCTGTACCAATCACGGCAAGCAGGCACGTGTAAACAACTGCTGTGATTTTGTATGAGCCATATAATTACACTTGAAAACCAACACTTTCTTTCATGCACCACTGCAAAAATTCTATTCTAAAATGAAGACACTCTTTTTCAGTGCTCACCCATTACTGCTGGTGTAATTCAAATAATCATGATCAGTTTTGTGTAAAGTCACTGCAACAAAAGCACAGCCATGAAAGTAAAAAGTCATTTCCTCAAACTTTATAGCGATTTTTGCTTTAACTTGATTTACCATTTTTAGAAATCTTGAATAAACTGATCAAAAAGATGCAGCTGTTCTTGTTATTAGTTTAGACCAGGTATATGCAAGTAAAAAGCGTGTCCACACAAGACTTAAACCACTACATTACATCTGGACTTATCAAGCAAGAACTAGAAACTTTAAATTTGTGCAAAGTGCATTCAGCCAAAATCCTGCTCACCTTAAAGCAGCACATGTACTAATACCCAGATGAACCAGTGAGTTCCACTATGTAATTTCTCCTTCCTCTCGTCAACTTCTTCCTCAACAAATTGATGCAAACATCACTTAAACACAGTGTTAGAGAACATCGGCTTAAAGGCACAAAGGGTCAACTATTTATAAACACAAAGATACTCCAACACGGTAATGAACCTGAAGAGACAGTGTTTTGTGCAGAACAACATTTTCGTATCTGGTTGAAAAGGCTTCTGAAGATGAGCTGCTCCTTCATTCCCCCTTTGCCAGTGGTGTGAGCCAAGCTTGGACAACACTTAAGTAAGGGGAGAGATGATTTCCCAATATTATCACATGGGATATACACAATATGATGAGACCTTGACATTCACAACCAAGACGGAACTTACATCTGTATTTCAGCGGAACCAATCTTGATCCCAAAGTAAATTCATTTACATGCCCTTTTCTTTAGCTAGACTGCAATGCCAACACACAATAGTGTTTTTGTAGTAACATTTAGATGAAATACATGAGAAAGTCCCCAAAGTCTTCCAAAAGACTTATCATTCTCATCCCAAAACCTAGGTCAGTTGTCCACACCCAACTTCCCCTCTCACTTCAGCTCTACCAGTCCAATGCTGATCACAGGGGATGGTACAAAAGCAGCAGTCAAGTTTTCCACACAGACGACAGGACAGCTCATTCCCCATGGCCATTTGTTTCCTACACTGTAATATTTACAAGCAGGATATTGGATGATGTTCACAGAACAATAAAGCAGTCTTGGAATAGTTACTGGAACATCACATTGCCAGAGCCTGATCCCAGTTCACTGGCCCATCAGTTCCGAAGCCCGTTACTAACAAAACACTATTTTTGGTGTCTGGAAGGTAGAAGATGCAATGCTGCCAAACTAGCCTGCTCTTTGAGAGGATGCTGCTTTTGCACCACAAATAAAGAGAGCAAGAGATATCTGGTCCACGATGGGTAAACAGGATGTTTCAAATCCGGTTCTCCTCACTTCAGTGGTCTGGAGCATTTTGCAGGAGGCATGACCGACTGCCAGAATGCGTGGCAGCAAGGAAAGCTTGCAGATATCCCATGAGCTTGGTACAGACACTGATGTGTAATAAAATTTAAGGAGAAACAGGATAGGCTAGTATAGCATAAAATTATATCCATCATAATTAAAGTGTTGATAAGAAGCCTAATTACAAACAATACACTCTCTTACTCTTATTAAAACATCTCAACATTTCCTTTTTTCAGCTACTCTAAAAGACATAAACTCACGAAGGGGATGGGGAGGGGAAAAACGAAACTTTTTTTTAAAGTTTATTTCTAGCCCTGAAAGAACAGTTATTAAACAAAGTCAACAAATACAGTAGTTAATATTGCAGTAACAATTAAATAACATAATGGGATTAAATTACACAAAAGGCAACATTAAAATCTGAAGACAGATTAAAAACAAAACAAACAAAAAAAAACCAAAAAGAAGCTTGCACCTACTTCCATTTCCATTGATAATGTGAGGAACAGAGGGAAAACAGACCAGAGACATTTATTCATTTCCAGCTGTGGAGACCTTTAACAACCTTCTTGCTCCCTTCCCAGCCTGCCTGCCATCCCCTCTGACAAAGGAGCCCAATCTCTCAGACCTGGTCTAAACACACCTTTTGCACCTCCCTGTGTTTGGCAGGGGAGGGGGAACACATCCCACAACTCATCCTGCTAACATCTAGGCAGATCAAAGTGCATATTCCCAAAGCCACGCTTACTTCCGATGGGAAACCTGGTTTATTCTATGATAAAAAAAAAAAAAAAAAAAACAGGAATCACACATTTCCTCCAGGTTTCCATCTAAGCCGTAAGCTGCCCAACACCCTATATACAACTAATCATGCCATTGTACATAACACTTCAGCTCTATTACTGGCATGGATATTTGACTAGAATCTGATTCAGGATCTTATGCTGGCACCCGAACATGAAAGCGAGACCCCTGGGACTCCCAGCACTTTCAGAAGCAATCCTTTCCTTTTCAGCATCTACCCAATCTCTGGCTATTCTCCATTCATCTGCCCCAGTTACCCAGCTGAGCTGAACGGCTCTGCAGCAAGCCTTAAGAATGCTAACCCGCTCCCCTTCAGGGAAAAAACATAGCTTGTATTTTTAGATTTTGTACACCCATACAGCTGACGTCATCGGAAAAGCGATACCCAACCCACTAGTGCACAAAAACACAGTACAGCAACTTCCTCGTGACTTTCCTTTTCTGCCAACTCAGTTACTATCTAGCTCCATCTCTGACCTTAATTTCTGGCAATAGGGGTTAAGAAACATAACTGTATAGTAATAAAGCTGCTGTGTGGGGAAGGGGAGAGGTGTGTACTTTCCAACTGCAGTGCTAAATACTATTCCAGATCATATGGCAAGCACTGAGATATGTTTTGGTAACTCCTCAAATAGGCTAAGTTTTGTTTGTTAAAATGACTTAAAGTTCAGAAATCACCTCCTAAGTAGACTAATCATCTCCTAGCAGGCAAATGTTTTAATACAAGATTAAAAACATTCTCATTTATCAATAAAAATGAACTAATAAGTTAAAATTACTTACGATTTCATGGTTTTCTATTTAAAAAATTCTCAATTCAGCACAAGTTTTTCGTGTTTTTGCTGCGGAGGCGGTACAAAAAAAAAAAAAAAAGGGGGGGGGGGGGGAAATCAGGAGAGCAGCTCCCAGTTTAACTCTGGCAGGAGTTTCAAAAAGTCCATTGCCAGCAACGGACAGTGAGGGAACCATCAATCAGAAAGGTTTTTTTTAATCTTAGCCAAGCCTCCTTGTTGCTTCCTTTTCATCAGGAAGCCAGATGCATTCAAACCGTGGGGGTATTGCCATTATAGTGTTTAAAGCGTCCTTAATGTGTTTTGCCTGGGAAGCGCATCTAGAATTATTTGCCTGGAAAGCAACACTTTCTTGAATTTAAAAATCATGAACATTCTCATGCTTATAGCTAGAGGGATATTTATTCCTTTAATGGTACAGTTAGCAATTTACTTAGGTACCTACCGCAGAAGAGTTTACCAGAAAACAAACTGAACCATGATACTGCGGTTCCTTACAAAATAAGGCATCTTGTTGGTACAAAGCAATTTCCTAGCAGCTAGTGAGCAGCAGGAGAGACTCTGAGACCCTTACCTCACTTCTCCTTCCTCACAAGCACAAACAGGCTCAGCTGTTCTGGCCGGCCACTCACAGCTGGAAGTTAGTTTTGTCATATCTTGGCTACCAGTCCCCAAAAATGTAGTTTTTTCCTCTCGATATATGAATATTGAAATTTTCTAAAAATCAACTTTATCTTCTGCCAGCACTGTTTGCAAAAGTGCACAAAAATTTTAATTTGGGGCCCTCTGTCCATACCCAGCCATAACCCTACCCATTCAAGCATTTGCCCACTGGGAACACAACAAAATGTCGATTCCCACTCAATTCATGGCTGTTCTTTCACAGAATCATTTGGCACATTGTAATTACAGTTGGCTCTTCATTAAACTGTTCTGGAGGTTGAAATGCATGGACTGCAGCATTAAAAGAAGCCAGGGGCCATGGATTCCTCTACAGTTGCCTCTGTCAATACCCTAAGTACTCAACCACTTACATTGTTCACTGCCCCTAGAGGGAGGCATCTTTTCTTGCAGTGAATATTTCACTTCAGCGATTCTAGCTGGTAAAATGTCTTTAGTGAGAAAGGACCAGTGTAACATATCAAGCCTCTTCAGCCTCGAACTAGCCAGTCAAATAAGCCCCATTAACGTCTGACGGCATTGTTCTCCACTCTCAACCTTTGTCTTCACAGAACAGCATTTTGGCCATTTCCAGGTGTTTGTAATCTTCTGTTTGAACTATATTTTAAAAATTCTCCATCTTCAGTGTCCTCAGATCTGATTATTTGTTCTTCTGATTTCATTAGTACAAATGGAGCATATATAAAAATGCAAAAAATAGCTCTAATACTTAATTTCTGACAACTCCATAGGCTGATGCATTATTTGCTTGGGGAAAAATTACAACATATACAAAAATGTATTTGATACAAAGAAGGGAAACGTAAAATAAAAAAGTCAAAGGCACCAGCATAACTCTCAAAGCCCAAGTCAGAGTACAGACACGTGTCTTTGAACCACCCACCTCACAAAGCAAAATATCCAATAAGCTTCTGGCAGGCAAGTCTAATGGAAAAAAAAGAGCAGATAGGAAGACAACTGGAATTTTTTTCTTGCCCTGACTTTAACTGATCATTTGATCATAAATAATTTATCTGACCCCTCTCCACATATCCATAACCTGACATCCAAAGACCTGACCCATCAAGAAGTTTCTAGAGGTCACACCTTTGATTAGAAATCCACAGAACACAGACATATAACAAAGAGTGAATACTTCTCTTCCCCCTCTCTCCATTCTTTTCTTAAAAGAAAGAAACATTTCAACACATTATGATTTCTTAAGTAGTCAAGCTGTTAATTCTACAGTACAGTGACAGCTAATCTCTAAAAGGAAGGAAAGGCAAGATGTACCTTCACATTTGTCACACTTGCCATTAATCTAGTCATAGAGGGGCTTACTAGAGTGATTTAAAAGTCAACGAGTCGAGGGGAGGAAGAGGAGAATAAAAGACATCAGCAGGTAAAATTAGTCCTGCTCTCTGAAAGCTTGAATCTGTCATTCAAGTATTGAAAGTACCCAGGATGGTACAATGAATGGGAGCTGTAACAGTAAAGTCATCGAAAACCTTTAAAACCCCGGGCACAGAAAGTGGCTTTCCTTGGCTGCCTGGAGGGGAAAAAAAAAAATAAAATAAAAGCCAGTAATTCAGTCCTCAACTCCTTCTGGACCACAGAAAGGGTTCATTAGAGTCACCACAATTTATTTTGGGTGTCTTCTGGATAAGAGTTTCTTCCCTTTTGCAGACTTTTTTTCCCCAAACCCCTTCCCTCCCACCAGAAGTGTAACAATTCCATATATTATAAAGATTTGTAAAAAAACAAACAAAACAAAACACCACAAAAAGATGAAGGCCATGGCAATACTGTTAGCGGTTACTCTTCATTGCTTCTTTGGCTGCTAGGATCAGTGGCGTCAAGCTAGACAGAGGTTTGGCCAATTTCAAGAAGGGATGCTGCCAGGAAGAGAGAAACACAGTAAATTAGTAAAAGACAAGTAATACACAAATAATAAATAAATAAATGAAGGCCACATTATCTCCACAGTGATTTTCATCCTGAGATATGAAAAGCACTGCAAAATAGAGGGGACGTATCCAGAGAATGAAGTGGATAAGCTCCAGCCTTATAGCCATCCCTCCTCTTCCTGAAACAGGCCTTCCTTTCTCCAATAATTCACTACAAAGAGGTTCCCTGCTCAAATATCTTCCCTCATTCCCCTTCTGCTCATTGTAATGACTGCATTGCAGTAAGCTGGCATACTGTTGGATAATTCAGCAGTGGTAGAAAGAAGACATGGACTACTGCTCGGAAGGACACCTCACAAACTTTGCCTTGGGTTCCCTCCAACTACTCTCCACTAGAGAGTCCTCCTCAGAAAATATAAAACAGAAGAGGTTTCAGTCTACAGTGACATTTATCACAGTTTTACTTTACAAGTGACCTCTGTATCTCTGGCACTGATGAGAAGCTGACTCTTACCTGTAACAATTCTTTGGCTGATCCCCTTTTTTCTACGTCCATCTCCAAACATCGGTTTAAGAAATCCCGGAATATTGGGGACAGTTTCTCAGGGTTTTGCAGCTCCGGTGTGCCATTAGTTGCTATCAAATATAAAGCCTGTAAAATAAGGAATATTGTATAACCAAGCCAAATGTTTAAAAGATGTCAAACTGACTTGCCTGGAGGTAATATCTTAGTCTAGATTAGGAGGAGTTCTGCAGCCTACTTCTCTCACTGATTAGATGAATAATTGTAAGAATGCCACTACACAATTTTAGGCAGCTGTGGCCTGTTCTTGCTAGTAGCAAAATGACTGCAGACGTTCAAAATCTTTCAGCGAGAGATACTTAAGAGACACATCTACATACCATTGCAAAGAAGGTATCGGCCTCTGACATGCCAATCAGTATTTTTCATAACCTAATGGATTTACTTTCCTTGAATTAGGGAAGTCTACTAAAGACAGAGGATTAAATTCTCGAAGTCCAATGTTTTAGTCAAAAGTGGGTACCCTTAGGGTGCCTCATTCATCTTCCGAATAGAGTATCTCAAGAATTCAGGGCAGGGCTGACTGCAAATTCAAGACAGCTGTCATCCTCTTGGGGGGGGGAGGGGGAATCTTCCTGCACTGCTGAAGCTTATTTCTCACTTTTTTTAAACACAGACGCTATCGAAGAACAATTCAATGAATCCACTGAAAATGATCAGCTGGTAAACACCCAGCCAGAACACCACAGTTCTAGCCATGTCTAGAGTTCCTACCCGCAGAGGGTTTTCATTGAGGTATGGGGGTTCTCCTTCCACCATCTCAATAGCCATGATTCCCAGAGACCAGATATCCACTTTTGGGCCATATGCTTTCCGTGTGACCACTTCAGGAGCCATCCAGTAAGGAGTCCCAACCATAGTGCTGCGTTTGCTCTGCTCTGGGGTAATCTGAGCACAGAAACCAAAGTCCGCTGTAGAATAACAGAATTAATAAAAGTTAATTCACTGCATCCTAGGTAAGTGGGGTTGCTAGAAAACTTCTCTACTGCTACAAATATATTTTACTCATCTGCACTTGAAAGGTTTGGGGTGGGGGGCTGGGGGATGGTTGTTTTTTTTGTTTGCTTTAAACTCTATTCTCCATATTACAAGATTCAACGTGCAAGATGGATAGAGAACCCAAAGGTGTTTAAGTAAGGCAGACTTCCATGGAATGAAGATAAGGCTTTTTGTCCCCTGGAATAAGGGCATAAGCATTGTCTTGTAGAAGAATGATGTTTTCCCCAATCCTTCCTTCGGGATTCCAAGACTAGTACCAGCCAAAAAAGAAATCAAGCAGAATCCAGAAGGAAACTGTTCTGTGCATGGTATGTTATACTGCCTGAACTAGAAAACGTGAATCTACAAACCATGGCTTCTGCCCTCTTAAACAGATTTTATTTCTGTAGTTATCGAGTTCAACATTTCACAGTAATTTGGACATCAAATACAGGTACTACAGCTGACAGACATGAATATAAGGCTTTAGATAAGTGAAACATTACCCTACTCAGCAGAAGGAACCTGGACAAACAAACCTTTCCACAAGGTAAGTACTGAAGAGAACAACCACACTCAAGAAAACAAGAAAAGTCACCTATTCCTATAGCCTTCAGGTGCAGCAGCAATGCATGTTCCATCATGTTACTTTATCCAGCTGCAGCACTCCCACTTCCCAGGCATGTAAAGCATCAATAAGAACACAGTTAAGGCAGGAACCAGATTTTACCTTATCATTGACACTACGTTTGAGAGAGAGAGAGAAAGAGAGAGAATTTAAAATTTCAAATCGATTTTGAAAGTGTTATGCCAAGCAGTGCTGACAAAAGAGCCACAGTCGTGCAAATGCTAAGTTGCACCAAGAGGACAGTTTAGCAAAGAACTACCCCCACCCCAATTGTCAAAATGCTGCTGTGAGAAAAGCAAACCAATAGCAGCCGCTAGCCCCTAAGTAGCTAGCCAGCATTTCTTTCAGTTGGACCCTCTGGAAGGTGTCATATTCAATTCAAAGAATAGCCTATTTCAACAAATGCATCAGAGAAGCAACAACAGTTTTTCTCATGATGTACCAACAGCACCTTCAGCACCACCTTCACCAGCGGGGAGAGAAAAAGCAAGCAAAAACTTCCGGCAGGTCCATCCCTTCACCTACAAGAAGATTCTAGTTTCACCAGGAGTGAATGTGGGAAATTAGTGGTGAGGGCAGCTTTTCAGAGATCCTTTAGCTGGCCAGGGAATGTGCCTTTACAGCCTCAGCTAGATGCTGCCTTCTTCCAAAAGATGCTATCATGTCATCCCTCCGCATGCTGGAAAGTCATCACTAGAAAGTGCTCAGGTGATAGGCAGATCAGAACCTCTGTTCCTGCCAGCAGTTTCCCAGAAGCCAGTCTCCTCCAGGGAAAAGGGAAGAGCTTGAAGAAGGTGCAACTTATACCCCTCCACCCCAAACAGCTGGTAGAAGGTTCTATAGCCACACAGCCAATGAAGGGCAAGTCTCAAGACTGATATTCGTCCTTCATGTAGCACGTTTTAATAGCTAACTCCTATTTTCTCACGTCTCCACCTTTTCCTTATCTTCCCCCAATCTCTTGAGGCCAGGGCCTCTTCACACAGGCTGCTGCCTCAGTGCCCCTCACCACAACCCTGTCCTTTTCTCCGCTGGTCTTTTCATTGACAACTCTTGTATCTTTTGAGCCGTCCACAGCTAATTTTTCCCAGCCACATTCTCTCCTGTAACTCGTTATCTTCAGCCTCTGAATCCATTCAGTTTGTGCCCAAATACTCACCACCCTGTTTAAAAAAAAAAAACAAACACCCCTATGCAAGTAAGCAGTGCACCCAACAATGTGGTTGAACAAGTCAGATTGCTTATAACCCTTCTTCACACTGCACCTCATGACAGACATGAGACTACAAGGCATCCAGAGTAAGGAATATTGCTGAAATGCTTTCTTATGGCATTCCAAATTCTTACCCAACTGTAAAAACACCATCTCATAATTCTTTGGTAGCTTTATGCTTCACGCATTACTAGGTGCCAAGACAATGAATAACACACCTCTCTCTGAACAATCCTGATGGCTTCTGCATATGGTTTCCCATTTTTCAAATTTTAAAAACCTCTTCTTCCTTCAGATGCCTCACACGTTTACACACACCATAAACTGACTAACTGTACACAAGTTATAGCATGCATGACAATTACCTGAAAAGCAAGTAGTTTCTTTGGTCATTTCATGATTTTATTAATGAAAGTGGATTACACTTTCAGTCCAAGCAAAGGAGACCCCAGTACAGGTGCAGCATAAGACTAGACTGCAACATAAATGGTTAATAACGCACAATTTCTTGTTAGTCACCTTCTAAATGAGAAGGGCAAAACATTAAAAGCAAGTCATGACAACCTGAAAAGACCATAAAGCAACCAGAGTTAGCTGCACTTTTCTCTTGCAACCATCTGCATCTTTCCTTCACTTTATCTTACCAGTTTTTTACCAATGCATTTATGTTTGCTTCAAAATCCTGCCAGTTTAACATGCTCACAGCCTTACAGTCTTGGGGCTCTCAGACTTTCAATACCTATTTGTGAATTACAGATTTTATAAGAGGCAATGAATTTCTGTTGCTGACATCCAGTAAAAAGGCACCTCAAATATCCCTGCCAACTACCTACCCTTTTATCAGCTCACACTCTCTAATGTGAAGTTTACTGGAGAGGGGAAACAGAACATTGCAACAACTGTCTGGTACTCACTGAGTTTAACCGATCCATCCATTCCTAACAGCACATTGTCACTCTTAATGTCTCTGTGGATGACCTGGTTGGCATGGAGGAACTCAAGCGCTTGCAAGCACTGGATGGGAGGGAAAAAAAAAAATATATATATATATATATTTAGCATATGCAAACACAGTTTGCACATGTGAACACAAATTCAAAATGCTTATACCCTCAACCAGTATCGAGTGTAAAAATATAGCAAGTATTATTTAAAGTAACCAGCAGAGGAAGCTCTTGTGCTAAAAAATATTCTCCAGAACTCAAGGAGGTCAGAAGTTATTTAACTATGAAGTTTCTCTCTCATCTTATAGAACTAATAAATTAAAATCCTCATCACCCAGTCATCACCTAAGATGTTCACAAAAATCACTCACAGATGATGTTTATTTTGGTACCTGTAATTTCCACAGCCTCATGCTATGGGGGAGCCATATGGGATTAAGTGAGAGCCTTTTAGCCTGAAGTCTCACTAAGAGGAATGCTTCATCCTCAACATACAGACAACTTTACCACAGTGACTTATAAAAGTCACTAATACTGTTTTTGCAGTCTTTTTAGATTAAAACCTTTTATACTACGTTTCGGCCTAAAACATAATGAAACTTAGTTTTGCTATTTGAGAAAGAGCAAAAACACCATTTACAAATTTTTTAATATAAACAAAATATTCACCATTTTAACCTGGCACGGATGTAATCCTCATTGAGTGTTTTTGCCTTCACTTTCTTTAGCAAAGTGACACTAATTTGCATAAGGAAGGGTACACGACATTCTGGGCAGCAGAATCTTGATAAAGTACAGCATTTGATAAAGTTCAGTATTATTCTTTTCCCCTCAAAAAAGTTAACTACTGTTACTGTAAATAGTTACTTTTAGTTCTCTGCTTCCAGCTCCAGTTTCTCAGGAAACCATTACCTGTTCATACATGCTAGTATACCATTTTGCTTTTAATCCTCTTCCTTTAGGTGAGTCATCAAAAGCAGATGTCGTGCTGGTGTAGCCAAACAGGTTTTTAAAAGCCTAAGCTTCTCCTGCACACTAGGTGATACAATTATTTCTCCCTCTCCCATAATAAATTGAGTCTGAGGTGGACACTGGCCCTCTGACTCACGGCAGAAACAACTGATAAGCTGCAATATAAGTTATTTTTAATTTCTATCTGAAGGATACACACTGAAATCTTAAAATTATTCCAGCTACAATCTTCTGGATAATTATTTTTCTGAAAAATCCATAAAGATTAACCATCTCAGGACTATAAGTTGCACATACTATGAATCATGAAAACAGCTGCTAAACCAAGAAAAGGAGAGTTTGTATCAAGCTCATCCCTACGTTAGCATATGTTTCTTAAAGTATTCCTGTCTCATCAGATCTACCTTTACACTTTCTAAGCAAACACAGTTCCACTTCTCCCATTTGGAAAGCACTCTGAAACTTAACATATTTCAGGTTCTCTTTTCTCTAGTATGCTCACTTCTCATTATTTTGCTACATTAACTACACGTGAATATTTAATATCTTTTTAGTACCATCAAATATTCTTCATTAGCAATAAACGTAAAGAAAAGACATTCTCTCTAGTAGCTAAACTTCTTTGTTGCTCTTCCCTGAACTTCAGCTCAGTTTATTAATCTCTCTCCGTTAATACGGTCACCAAGACTGAATCATCCAGGTGCCAAAAAAGGAAATCTTTATTTGCTCCATCCTTTAACACCCTTAAACATCCAACTCCAACTGCCATAGCTCTTTTGTGTTACACATCGCATACCCATGTCTAATATGCAATGACCTTTCATACACAGTGCACTTCTCATCGCTGCATTCTCTGCCACTGAATTAACCATTTCATATTGTTTCCTCCGAGGTCAAGTGTTTGATAGGGGGTGGGGAAAGGTAGTTTTGTTTTGTTCAGGGATAGGCGGGTGCATGCAGTTTTCTGAGTTATATGCAGTAAATAATAAAATGAGTTTATCCCAGATTTTAATATTGATTTTTGCTCGCAGAATCATTAAATCTTCCCAACTGAATTTCCCCAAGGGCAGTTGTTGCAATTAGTCCGAACATAAATGTACCATAAAACCCAGAGGAACAGAGTGTGCCTTCATTTCTCTGCACATCAAATACAGTACTCACCTCTCTACAAACAGCAGCAATCTGTGCCTCATCCATACATGTTTCTGTGACCACATCTGTCAGTGAGCCTCCAGCCAGATATTCCATCACCACAAACAATTCATCTCCTACAAGGTAACTACAAACAAAAAATGAAAAGCATGCCCATTCGCCATCAAGAGAGACTGAGAACTGAAAAGTGACAGATAACAGCACTGTGACAACTGTCCAAGAAAATGATTCACAAACGTCACGACAAACAGTAAAGAAAGTAGGTAGCTTAAAATGTAAATGCTGACAATAAAAGCCCTACACTTCTTGAACTAAACAGTCAGGATAACACCTGCATCTCACTGAGAACACAGCACTTCCAGCTGTGCTCTTTTCCACCACTGCTCCTTGATTACATACATGCAGCACTGCACTGATGAAAGAAGGCCTCTTACCAAATTAACATGACAATTCCCTATAAAATACTTTTTTTTTTTTTAAATTCTTCTCAATCTAAATACAGTCTCATTTGTTCATAAGACCCTGAGGTACAGAGACTCTGGGTCTATATGGGAATGTCAAGTTAAAAACTCTTGAAACCCCTGGGGAGGAAGGGATCAGCCAGCTGTCTGCATTTACCTGTCCAGGAAGTTGACTATGTTGGGATTCTTTAGCTCCTTCATTACCAAGATCTCATTAATAATCAACTCCTTCTTGGGCTGTTTCTGCAGGTTTATCTGTTTGATAGCAACCTGAGGAGGGCCAAGGGAAACATTAATAATTCAAACTTGAGTATCAAAAACTTTCAGTTATTCTTAATACAGTAAAAGGTTAGAAGGGGTAAAAGATTCTGTAAGAGCATCAAGGCAGCTTGGCCAAGAAACACCACGCAACTGGTAGGCTATTTACTTATTAGCATACAACTTTATTAGCATACAACTCACACCCACAACCAACATCCTCCTCCTGCATCTGAGAAGACTGACAAGCAATAGCAAAGGCCAGAATAAACAGCAGAGGAAACATTTAGAAGATAAACAGATACTCGCCCAATTGATTTCATATCAGCCAGCCTAAAGCAGAGCAGCATCTTGCAGAGACTAACAGTGATGGTATAAGCCTCCTTAGGCAAGGTGAGGCAATTTGTTTCCATGCATCTTCTTCTGACAAGATTAGCGTTTAGGTATGAGGAATGCAGGAAGGTAGAAGCAGTTGAAAAATCAGCATGCACAGAAAAGATTGAAAGAGCAATTCAACAGAGGAAGTTTTGAAGAATAAGAAACAGCAAACTAGCAAACAGGCAAGTGGGAACGTTGAAAACAGCAGCAAGATAAGGAATAAAATGTTTATAATGGTACAAGTGACAAAACCAGCCCAAGTCTGAGAGAGAACTCCAGATGAGAGACAGAACTGAATCAATAGCTGGATCAACAGTAATAGCAGTCTTCACAGCCCTACTGCTGACAGCAAGTTGTAAGCAGGTACTGGTGTGGCTAAGGTTAAGTAAAGAACACCAATTGATTGTGGTGACAATCATAGGAGAAACACTGTCATGAGATTGTTTTGAGGGGAAAAGGAAAGTAGGAGATAACTCACTCAGAGCAGTTAAAAACCAATGAACTATCCCAGAGAGAGAAGAGAAAATAAAGAACTATTTGGTCGAAGAAATAAGTTAACTAGGACAAGTTTTCCAGATTTTTAAGATGAAAAATTGTCCCAAGTCCGTTCTGCTAGTAGTAATATTTTCAGGAGGCGTTTAGGCTTTTTACAGGATAAGCCACTCATCTGTCCAAAATCAAAGTGTTACCACAAGAACTGAAATAATCTTGTAGAAATATTCACTATCACATTTCCATGGGCATTACAAGAAGAGAACCTGTGACACAGAATCACAAAATAGCTAAGACCAAAAGGGACATCTGGAGGTCATCTGGTCCAATGCCCTTGCTCAAAGTAAGACCAACTTAGAGCAAGCTGCTGAGGGCCTTGTCCAAATGAGTTCTGAATGGAGATCTCAATGGGTGGATACTCCACAACTTCTCTGGGCCCCTGTCCTGTGATTGATCACTCTCACTGTGGGGGGAGCGGGGAGGAAATCTAGTATCTGAACAGATTCTAGCTTAGTGCAATTTGTCTGTTGCCTGCGGAGCTCCAGGCTGTCCAGCTCCATCTTCTCTACACCGTCCCATTACAGCTGGAGACAGCAATAAAATCCAACTTTAGCCTTCTCATCTTACCACTGAACAAACCCAATTCTGTTATCAGAACTTCCTCCTCTTCCTCAGACAATAAGCCGTGAGGAAGCTAGAGTACTGGATCAGTTTAATGTATGAAGACAGAGACTGCAAGCAAGATCAACTGTTGGATTACCTGCCTAACAAGAAGCAGAGACGGTCTAAGAAAGGAATCTAGCTGCCCAATTTACTATGCGGTCAGTAAGAGGACAAGAAGTACTGCAGTGAGTAGAAAGCATTCTAGCACTACAGAACTGGGAGAGGTAGATACTGATGAAAAGGCAGCTATCATTGACCTAAAGAATGGCTAACTTGGACTTTTAAAGGAAAAATAAGGAAACTGAATTTAAAAAGAAGTAATTGCTAACGTTTTAATCTTGGGGAATCAGAGATGATCACTGCATGAGAAGGATGCAGCATTTTACTGGTGTCATCATCTTTACCGGATGGTTTGGATGTACCAGGTAGCAAAAACAAGAAACAGGATGTGCAGAAGGCATTCTAATTAAAGCAAAGAATCATATGGGGACATATAGATAGGCATCTCAATCACCACTACTGAAATGGGACTAGAAACCAACTACGTTAAGACTAAATGAAGATTTATTGCTGAAAATCCAGGACACCATTGCCTACAATACTTGAAGGATAAACTGTTTTCAAAACCTGTATCTGGAACATCTCACTCCCTCTGCTTCTCACTGGAAAGACACAACCCTATTTTTAGCTTTCATCACCTGATTACTACAAAACAAGGCACACAATGTTACAAATGACTACGACAAACATTAGTTTGCAAGGTGATAGCAGAGATGGAAGCCACAGAACAAAACTTGGTCAGGTCATTCTGACCACCTACAGAGGAACATCTATATGGAAAAAGCATTTTCACTGTGATGAGCACAGAGCTCTTACCTCTTGCCCCGTTGCCACATCAATAGCTGTGAAAACGGTACCTGAAGCCCTGTGAAGAAAAAGAAAAGTCTTACAGCCAGTTACAGCTCTCTGTGTAAGACACATGCACACGAACAGACAGATCACAAATGCAAAATTGTTTCAGCTTTTTGTATGTTGCAAGAGCTCTATCAAAAAGAAGGCTGTCAAAAGTAAGCGGTATCAAAGACATGCTTGTCAGTTTATACAAAGCAAACTAAATCACACGTCAAGTCCACTCTGTTCTAAGACAAACCATTCCTGCATTCAGGATGTCCAAGCCCCTAAAGCCTGTGCTGTTGTGTAAGACCAGGTTAAGTTGGACAGTCTTTTCTGTAGTAGGCATTACTTTTCATTTCTGCCTGGGGTAGCCTTCCCACAAATGCACAGAGAAATATTTGGAAAGGGAGAGACAGTAGGAGCTATGCTTAGATAATCAAAGCTGGGTAAGCTACCCTTGAGTATACTCTTCAAGTGAACTTTTTTTTTTTCAAAAGAATTCCTAAGAACACCAGAACAGTAACATAGGTAAGAAGTATAGTTAGTCCATCACACAGAAAGCCTTCTGGTGTACCCTCAAGCTCTTCAGTAGTCAGATTACAGAACAGATGAAAGTATCTTACTAAAAGAGGACCAGAGAAGCCACAGACATGGTAGAGAGAAGTCATAGGGCTACGGTTTTGTATTAAAAGACCCAATTCAAAAATCTCTACCACCTTCAGCATCTGTTCATCATTGTCTAATACTGCAAACATTTCTGCCCACTTCAGTAAGGAGTGGGTACATGGTAGTATCAGATAGGAACAGTACACTACCTTTAACACTGATTCACTGTAAGTAACAGCTGGGACGAACACTTACCCCTGCCCAATTTTTTCATATCTGGTGTACTTTTTCTTGGGATCTCCTATGCTCACAATAGTACCTAAAAAAAGAAAAACATTTCCACAACACCTCCACAGAAATTCTTAGAAGGCTCACTGCCTTAGGAAATGTTCTTTGCTATCACAACACAGCATACTGTTTCTGTCAACTCATGTTGAAAATACATGCCGTTCCCACCATTCCCCTTGAGCACGACTAGCTTCAGCCAGGATAGCTCAGAGTGTGAGTCAGCTCAAGTAGTAAAAAGGTTGATGCATTAGGAGCCAAAGCTTCCTGATTTCGTTCCAGTTGCAAATGGCCCAATCTCAGACAACTGTTATGCCAGGTCTTGGTCTTAATAAGACAGCTCGTGCTATTTCCCACTAACACCTCAATTTAATGCTATCCTTCTGGATAACAGAACCCGGTACTAGATTATTAACAAATCCATTAGGTTAGCCTGTTCCAGAAATCAGTCAAGCTCCTGACTTATTAAGCACAAGAACATTAATGCGGTGAAACTTCATCTCCAAGATTATGGAACAAGCAACAGCAGAATCTAGGATATTTTATGTTTTTATGAATTATCATGAATATATATATACATGCCAATCATATTACCGTAACAGAACTTCAATCCAAAAAAACTGTTCTACAATATTCTTTACCCAATAGGGTTGTGAAGTATACAAATTAACAAAACGTGCAGCTCCTCTCAGCTACTGTCTGACACAAAACCAACCAAGCACAGTATTCACACGATCCTTACACAAAAATCAGGATAAGGTCGACAACTTAATATCCTCCCTCTCTGCTGGCTAAATAAACTATCAGAAGCATCAATACAGATGCACAAGCCATTTTATAAGCATGTTTCAGTCAATCGTGACAGCCTGACAGCTATCTCATAGCTATTATGACTCAGAACAAAGGGCTGATCACTACTGCACAAAACCTCTCAAGTCAAAAAGCAAATGAGACTGAAATCAGTCCTAAAGCCTTTGTTTAATTGAAATAAAGAACACCTACGTAGTTTTTCCATGATCTCTTCATCTGACATTTTGGTCTTCTTTTTCTGTTTATCACCTGATTTGGATGAACTGTCAACAGAAGAGTCACCAGCTGGTGCAGGGATGGGGTCGATTACAGACCGCGTATAAATCTGTTGTTAAAAGAGATCATTTACTTGAGCAATCTCTTTGTAATCACTGACTTTCAGTTCAAAACAGTCACAATTCTTAAAAGACCACTAAGCACCATTTTACATAAAACCCTGGAGCCAGAAGTTAGACTTGAGAAGCACTAAATTCCAGAAAGTCAAGATGATAGCAACCTTACTGACCTCTGAAAGAAAAACCCAGATACCTTCTGTATTAAAGAGCGGATGCTAGGAGTGTATCTAATCAAGCTCTCTGTCTTCCCCAGATAGACTTGTTGTGCGTTTTCCTCCTGCTTATTCTCTACAATATATCAGTTGACTTGAGCGGCGTACATACCCTTTCGTCTGTGTATTTACCTCAGTTCTACAAACTCCCAAGTTTCACAGAACAGACATCATTATTTAATGGCAAAAGACACTACTCCAAAGATTTAAAGGAAAAAAGCTTCGTGCTTCAACATGAAAAGAAGCGTGAATCTGTGGATTTCTCATTTTCTCAAATTTTGGGGATTTCTTTGCACTTTTTTATTTCATTTCCCACTGTTTGCTATCCCTGCATTTGAAGAAACTACTGAGTTTTACAGCCATACATAGCTTCCCTGGTAAAACCAAACGGTAGACCCCCCACATTGCATATGTTTACATACCCAGAGTAGGCAATATTAAAAACCGTAACACTTGAAAAAATATACGCAATTCATATCTATGCTCCTGGAACAAAAATAAGGCCACAGTGGGCAGCAGAGCAGCAATATGCACACCTACCATGGATCAAAGAATGAGCTGTAGTAGGTAGGATTCCTGGGACACTGTGAGCAGGGTGCACAGGACAAGAAGCTGACACTAAAACTTAGGTATCAACTTCATAAGCATTTAACTTTCAACATAATACTGATGACTTTGTGATCAATATAAATTTTCAAATCTTAAATTTGAATTTAGGTTTGGGTAGTATATTTGATGAAGCCATCTCATTGTAATCCAAAAAAAAAAAAAAAACAAATGTTCAAATGCACTCTCCTACACTTATGCCATTATACTATCTAAAGATAGAAATTAGCCATAATTTTTAGCACTAAAAAACCTCCTCCTCACATCTTGGGTCAGAGGATAAACATATCTAGATATCTTCAGCACAAACCAACAAACTATACCAGCATTAACTTCAGGATTTCCAGTTCCAGTGAAATCCAGAAATCAGGTATTTTCTTAGCAAGCAAACTTGATTAAAAACAGAACTTTCTCCTAAAAACACGTAACAGCTCATTTCACAAATTTGCTGGAAAAAAGGAGTAGAAAAAGACCTACAACACTGTGAAAAAAAGTTGCTCACCGATTTTGTGTGATCTGGCCGTGGAGCAATAACTGGAGGAGGAGCTTCTTCATCGTCGTCGTCGTCGTCGTCAGCTACAGCTGTCGATGGCTCTGAACCTTTGGCATTGGTCTACATTTTACCAAAGTTAAAAAAAGTATAAATAAAATTGTATCCCCGACAAAGCATTAAAGACTTGTATTTTTTTTTAATATGAAGACAAAAGAATTCTTATTAATGTCAAAAGAAAAGGATAGTTCGAGTGGTTTAAGTGCCCTACTACATTTCATTACAAGATTCAAATACTATTGCTCCAGTAAAATATGCTGTGTTCTACACTGCTTTTTAGGTTTTTATTCCACGATAAGTTCTTATTTTGCTGCAAGATTTAGTATAACAAATACAGAAGATCTATAATGCTGTTCTCCTAAGCCACAAAGAAGAGTAAACACACTCACCGTTGGTGTTCCTGATGGGAAACCATCTTTTTCTAAATAGGACAAACAGTAGAATACATAAAATCAGCAGAATAAATAATAAAAAATGAACTTTAGAGTAGCAGAGGAACATTAAGACCATGGACATTCTGGGGATTCCTTTCTTTCAGAAAGTAAAATTTCACAGTAACAAATGAGATAAGCTCTCTGTAAGTCTCTGTAAGTCTACAGAGAAGGGAGGAATGAATTACTAAGATCATCTCCTAAGGGTCAGTTAAAACTACCCATTTCCTAACCTGTTCTACTGCTTCAACTCACATTAGTATCCGCACACTGTTTTTTAAAATGAATATTGCCTGCCATGCTTGTGTGTCCTATTGTATTGAGAAAAGAAATCAATATCAAACTGGTATTTCTGTTCCCTTAATTGTGTTTTGAATCAAAGATGAAGATATTACAAAGCCTTATTACTAAGCTATTTTCAGAATGGAAATAATTTGGAAGAGAACTAGATAAAAGGAACCATATATGTTTGTAGGACAGTCATTCCCCCAGCCTCCCCACGTAGCTCCTGACCTAGGCGCAACAAGTTATTTGGCATCTTTGATGTCATCACTTGGGAAAGATAAAAATCCAAGTTCAGACAGCAACCATCTAGAAACATGTTTTGACCACAGACAGCAAAAGCAAGGTCACCAGTATGAAACCAATTAATCATAGTCTCAGAGCCCAGCTTCAAAAATACAGCTCATTACAGTTAATTTTAGCTGCTATTTTGAATTATTCAGTTCCATTTCTTCCCTTCTCCGTTTAAAACAGGAAATTAACTGGACAAAGCCAGTTTCCAGTAAGCTTTAAATCCATCTTCAAATGTTCCTTCCTCCTTGAGAAGTAGCTTGCTTTTCCAGCATTTGAATCTGACTTACTAATCCACAAGAGATGAAGACTGAGTTCCAAATACCCAATTCCCCCTCCCCACCTTCAATACGCCTTGAATACTTTTGCATCTCACCTGGAGCAGAGAAACTCAGATACTTTTGTTTTGCAGTGTCTTTGGAGTCATAGAACTTCAGCACATCCAGTACCGCCTGAGGGTTTTTCTTCTGTTCTAACTTGGTGATATTTGAGGTTTGTAGCAATCGAGCCCATTGCTCTGGCATTCCCTGAAATAATAGGCTATTTAAGCATCCTTCCAGTATTTTAAAGATATCAAAAAAAGCAGAACAGATTTCCTTCCTCCATACAAAGCATTATACATACAGCCCTGAACACATGAACAGGCAGGAGGGTGTTTCAATGTTCCCACTTGATGCTGAGGAGCCATGCATCCATAGGTGATACAACATAAATCAAGCCACAGCTGGAATACCTCCTGACTGCTCAACGTCTCAAGCATTCTCAAATATACCAGGGGCTCCAATCTCCTGAGCCAACATGACACCAACCCTTTCAGGTATATTAAGTCAGCTAATTGAGGAATGGGAATACTAAAGCACTCAACAGAACCAGTTATGAATGACTGAAAGTGAGCTAAAAAGGATACCTCTCCTCACAGCAGTTCTCAAGGAAGACTCTCCCAGATGAAACAAAGCATTAGATCTGACATACACATTGCAGAAGCACTGGGAGGTCACGGTGTCTTTGCTCTGTACACTGTACAAATATACAGTATATGATTTCTTTGACAAAAACGAATAGATTAACTCATACTTCATTGCAGAACACCTCAATGGCTTCTCTACAGTGCAGACCCACAGTTGTTTTCTCAGTGTCTCCAGGTCAGGTATACTTACAGTAAATTCTCCAGTAACCGCATCAAAGCCAACATGAATGGTATGTTCAAAATCTGATGGAGGGGAGATTTCTGGCCTTTCCTTTTCTTTCTTCCTGCTTCCTGAAAAAGACATTGAAAGGCCTACTCAGTAGAGACTTAAAGTCCTGTTTTCCCCATTTAATACAACAAAACCAAACATTAAAACATTTCAGATGAATATAACCATTATTCTGTTTAACGGACACATGCAATTATATACGCAAAACAGTAATTTGATATTTTCAATCTGGGATAGACTTCACATGAGAATCAGCATTTCCTTTTTTTAAAAATCATTTATAGCGTGGTAGAAATAAGAGAATAAGAACCCCCCAACACAAGGAGCTCTACGACACACACAAACTGCTTACAATGAAATAAATAAAAATAATTTTAAAAAAATATTTTAATATAGATTAAAAACAACACTGAGGATAACTTTAGTTCAACCTCAAGTTCACCCTAAAGTCAGTTAAAATTCTGTTGCCTTACTGCTTCAATTCAAGTTAGTTAATGTAAACTGGGGCTTCCTGCAATGAAGATAAGAGTTTATAGCCCCAGATCAATTACCTAATTTAAATTAAAAGAAAAAAAGCAACCATAAGAAGTATCAGACGTGAGGACAGATAATGAGAAGGACCATGTGAACAATTCCACATTAGTTGAATTTAGATTCAACTAAATTTATAAGATGCTTTATAATGCATGGGGTTTGGGTCTTTCTTTTTTCTCCATTTCTCTAACACAGAATATAATTGCAAAGTGTCTTCCACTGGCATTTATTTTAACTCAAAGTATGAAATACAGTTATCATGAATTATAAACCATTACGGTCCATTCAACACTGAATCTTTCTTTTTTTTCTTTTTTTTGAGTAAGTTAGGTCTCAGGAACCTGTTCTTCTGCTCTTGCAAAAAAGCCCAAGTTTTCTTTTCCTGCCAGCAAAGAATGGCGTGCTTCTGGAGAACTGCTCTCCAGGTAGAAAGAGGATGCCCAAGGCGCCGTCTCACAGCCTTCTGTTGGATCTAACCTGAGATCGAGAAACTGAATGCATAATCCTAGGAATGCCTGCGGCTCCGAGAGAACATACAGTTAATCATCTGCGAGAACATACAGTTAATCATCTGCGCTTACTATAGCACACATGCAGTCAGCAAGAACATCACAGTGCTCATAAGAACAAAAGAAAGCAGTACACCATTTTAAAAGCCCTCTAACTTGATTACCACTTCACTTTGCGAGTCAGCTTCACAAAGCAAAGCACATTTTGTAAAGGTATAAAGTTTTGAAACACTACAACATCCGTTATTTGTTCAAAAAAACCCATCACCTTAACAATAAAAGCCACAAAGTTTCAGCACAGGGAAAGCTCAGCTAAAAAAGCAGCCTCGTAGCTGTAATGTGGTAAGAAGGCACAGACTATGGGGGGGGGGGAGCACACCTCGCACTTCTCAAGCAGAGCCCTTCTGAAATACCTTCATACGGGCAGGAAAGGAAGGAGAGGGAGCTGGAGACGATACTTAGAAATGGAAAGCCACGCGGGGCGCCTTGAGCAGAACAATGCTATTGTTCGGGAAGACATTGCTATTATAAACAGGATATCTTTAACATGGCTGCACAGGTCAGAGCCAACAAGCAAGTGGATTGTCAAACGGCCTTATTAACATATTTCCGTCGCAGGCCTGGAGAAACTTGCTTAGGTGAAAACATTTAAGGAAAGTGCTGTTTTTGCCCGACCTTTTGCAATTGTTTATGTGAAAGCAGGAAAAAAAAAAAAAGAAAATTATATTGTTCAGGAAGATTCATGTTCTGAAGTACTTGGCTTCTAGGGAACAGGAGCTCGCGCTCAAATCCTCAGGCATGTGCCGCACAAATAAACCCTCGCCTTTCAAAAATACACATCCTCTTAAGTACAGTAGGCAAAGAGTCTAAAACACACTTCTCTGCCAACAGGAATATTAGACCACAGAAGCACTTAAAACAAACGCAAGCAGCAAACTTCAGTCAAGAGGCAGGTCCAAGTGAGTCATGGTTTGGCAACGCGCACTTGCTAACAAGGCCATTGTGAGGCCACACTATTTTTGAACCTCTGCTTATGTTTGTATCACAGCTCGGTATTTAAATGGGAATCCCTTTAACAAAGGGAGACACTTGCTTCAAACCACAAATGGATCTAAGATATGGTCCCTTGCTCCTATAGTTAGAGCAGGCTCTCAGGCCCTGCAGAGGGAGCAGCCAACAGTCCTGTTTCAAACAGGGTGGGGGAAAACGCAAGGCTCCTTCAAAGGGCCTCGAAAACCAGAATTGCTCTCTCCAATTAAGAAAATGCCTCAAATACGTTAAGGCTCTGCTCTGCCCCAAATGAAACCATCGCAATTCAGAAACATGTTAGCCGAGGTGCTTCACATACCTTCCTGCACTGCAACCCAACCTCAACGTACCGTCCAATCTATTGCTCCCTATCAACATGCAAAGGTACATACCTAACGTGTGCTCAGGCCAACCTCCACATACAAATCAAGAAACAGGGAGGTTTCTCAACAGCCTGGGCATAGTAAGTAGATGGCTTAAGCGGGGTACGCTTTGATTTGCTGAAGCCTCCAGCTGAAGCCACACTGAAATCTACTCTGAGCCAGAAATCTTGAGCATGTCACAGGCACGTCCCCGTGGTCTTGGGCTAGACCCCACAGAATCTCCTTTAGTAAGTTCTGCTCTAAGACAAACATTTCTAGTTTTAGAATACTTTTTTTAAAGCTTTCCAAAAAACACACACACGTTCATTCGCCTTCAGAAGTCTAGCCAAGGAAATCCATGGCAATTAAGTACTGTAGTAAAAAGATGACTATCTCATCATTTATCCTGAACAACGGAATGAACAAAAAAGCCTCCATCCCTAGGTCATTAAACAATATCTTCAAGCTCTTATGATTAATTCATTGCCCAACTAGCTCTGCCTTGGGGCAGAAATTCTGCATTTCAAATATCTTAACCCTCACTGTCTGCAGTTAGTCCTCCAAATCTCACCATCTCCCCAACTCTACCTCCTAAGGTAGAGAAACCTCCTAAGGGAGTACTAAAGGGGAGGGGAGAGAGGCAGAGCTGTAGCAATAGATAAGATGATATTATCAGTGGATCTAGAGCTGGAAGGGGAGGCATCAAAACAGTGTAGGAAATTGTGGGATGGAAAAGGCAAGGCCAGCACCATCCAGGAAAAAAAAAATGCCATAGCAGACTTCAGCACAGAGCCCAGTGTGTGCATTAGCATAGCCACCTAATAGGAATCAGCAGAGATGCAAGAGATTGCTAATGCAAAGCTATGGTGTTTCCTGAGCAATTTAACGATCTCTGAAACCCAGAAAAAGCAAGGCCAAAATACACAGTGCCCTGAGACGCGGTCCTAACTGCTGCCTTGGTGCAAACACCACTACAAAGACCTACAGTGACACATCCTCAGGCTTCTCTATAAGCACCACCGAAAATCCAAGCTGTACATACACAATCCTTTCCTGCTTACATTCAGTACAGCAACATCTGACTATCAGAGATGGAACTCACTCAGATACACACACAAGAAATTAAGTTGTGGAAGATAATAACAAAGAATGGCATATGTTATTTCTAACTAGCCTATCTGGTTATTCATGCATGCTAAACCCAGAAGGGTTCTTGCAAAATCATACAGACAGAAATCTGCAGAACAAAGCCAAACAATTTTAGCCAGTTATTCCTGTACCAAGTCTAATCATCTGCAGCAGCCCTGTATGTCTCCTAGTAAGATCTATCTTCATTTTCTGAAAAGGAGAATCTACCATTTCTGTTGTAACTTGTCAACCTTTGTACTGGAGTCAGGAGAAGCTTTTCCCTCAAAAACACATCTACCTTAAATACAAAGTCAGGTTAACAATCTAATTGGCATATAATCCAATCAAAAAAAAAAAAAAAAAGCAGGAACCTAATATTTCTGTGATGCTTAAGTAGCAGAATAAAAAAGGATATTTGAACTGGCATTCTGGTGAGGGTGCGTCTCAGCCTTGCTAGTGAACAAAACAACTAACATCGGACGATTGTTTCAGTGCCAGAAAGTCACTGTGTTCATTTATATTCTGCTTATGTTTGACAGCCAATTTTGCAGCCATGAGGACTGAAAGCATTTCTTCAGATGTTTACATTATCTTCATTGTGCGTCAGCCAATTGACAAGTTTTTCCCAAATGAAAAAAGCTATCTTTCAAATAGTTTCTTTCATCGGGATAATTCAAATACCATTTTTTCTATTATCTTGCCATGTGGTAAAACCTTCCACTTTTTTCAGAATAGTACATTACTTTAAATATTTTTTAACATTTAGAAAAGTTAAACTGGCACAGTGGTCTCAAAAATACACTTCTCTTAGCTGAAATTACTTCTTTAATTTTTAGTTTGCATTACTAGGTAAACAGACACATGCTAAGCAAGTATGCAATTAACTTCCATAAATTTGGTACCTATCATTATCTACAGAGTGGTCTGCAATAAGTAACTGGATTTTTAAACCTAGATGAGTCACCACAACTTTAGACAAGTCTTCATTCAGCTGCTTGATGTACCCCCTTTCCGGTCATTCCAGCAGTGAATAAACTCACCATAAAGATGGGCACAGGGAACACCTCAGGGGAAGTAAAGACACTATAAAATGCTGTAAAGCTATCCAGCTGCCCTGCACCTACTTGCATTCTTAATGGAACTCTCAAAAAAAAAAATTGCATACACCTCACTGGATGCTCCTGCAGAATTAACAGGAATTCCTTAGAAATAATTTACAGCCACAAATGGTCTGAGCCTTTCCATATTCTCCACAATAAAGAGATGCTTCTGCACAATCATGTTTCACAGCACAAGCAAGCCTTACCCAGTATCACTTATTCAGAGCAACGAAGACCTTCTTTCACTTTGCTTTTACATTCTACTTCATTATAGCCTGTCTGAAAAAAAGAGTTACAAAAGTCCTGATGTCCCATCTAGGAAACAGCACAATTACAAGCAACATGCTAGCTCCTAAATTAGGCACACAAATAATCCATTCTCCCATTTAGAAGATGGAGGGACTTGACTCTTCCACCAGATTTTCTTATAGCTCTCACCACAACAATTTCCAGGTGTTTACTCCCATGATAAACTACGTAACAAAAAAACCAATTTCTGTGGTATTGAAGGGCTAAGCTAGAACCTGCTCTAGACAGACAGCACTAAATCCAGCTGTTAAAACGAACAGCACTGGGATTCACTGCCTTCACAAAGCTCAGAGGCCTCAGGTCTCAGTTTGTCACCATCAACGTGTAGTAACTTCGCACATTTTCTTTTAAGACGTCTCTCCTTAATGCTTCTTCCCACTCCAGAAAAGAGACCACCATCGCTATTGCTGTAACTCAATACCATGGTTCCTACATTCATAGCAAAAGCGATGTCCAAAAAGGGAGACAGGGGACACTCAACAATTAAATGTGCAACATGTTCAGAACTAGTCCAAAAAATACATGATGTCAATGTGTGTTAATATTTGGTATTAATTTCTGTTAGGAATACAACTTTATATTAATCACAAAAATGGTAACTGGTATAGACAGATAAAATGCATGGCATTTTAAGGTCAGGCTAATAACTCTCCCCACAGTTTCACCCTACCAGATGTTAGATTTTCTACGCACTATTTTGTTCTTCATGGGAATATACACATCCTGGAGAATGAGGATCAGGCCTCCTGTACGGTACATATATTCACCATACAGAAAAGAGGGAAAAAACAAAGCACAGATACAGTCTAGTTTCTTTACAGTAAATTTTTCTCATTAATAATCATTGTTTATATAACAATCAAGAACTTTTCCCCACCAGCAATTAACCTTAGCAGTGCAGTTACACAAATCTGACCTCAATACAAGAACTTTATTTTTCTTGGTTCCCCTTCATGCAAACTGCAACCTCCCACTATTTCTCTACTCTCTTTTAATTCTAAAGGTACCATATAAATCGGTCATCAGTATGAAGTAACTTCCAAATCAGCTTGATGCTCAGTTCAAACCGGAAACCTGCATTTAGTGTAGCAAAATGGTAAATGATACCCAGGAATCAGAAATATTTATTAGGTGTGTACAGAAGTGCATTACTAGAGCTTTAAACGGGGCAGCAAACATGAGAAGCAGTAGACAGAGGTTTTCCTCAACGAGCTATTCAATTTGTCCTTTGCATTGCCATCTTCGTGCATCCCAGTGGTAAACAGAAAAGAATGTCTCAGCTCACTAAACACAGGTACCAAACCTTCAGCATGTCCTCTCATCTCCCACATTTGGAAAGATTATAACAAAACTCCAGGAACCTGAAGTGCAAATTATGAACTCAAATGTCTCAAGCACTACCAAAACTTACAGGAAGAGTAAAGGAATACAGGTCGTAACAGTGGAAAACTTAGGCATCTTACCTTTTTCAGTGCCAGAGAATATGGAGATGATTTTACTCCTAGGTTTTCTCTCTTCTGGTACAGAGGGCAGGGGTTTCAAGCTGTGGTTGGCAGACAGCTGATCTTTGACCCCTGAACTAAAGATAGTGCTGCTCATCCGGACAGGAGGAGCTGGTGGCTTGTCTTCCAGTTCTCCGTTGTCAGACATGATTCTCAATAGCTAGTGAAAGCACTGAAATAGAAAAACTTGTTTAAACATAGGATCAGAGCATGGAATATAGAAATGTAGCATTTCTTCTGCTGGCCAAAAGGGGAAAGAAGACGCATTTACTCTAGGTGTGCATTCAACACTACAGAACTTAGTAAGCACTAGACTGGCAAACATTAACATCACCTCTGAAGGAAGCAGTCCCTTCCTCCCCTCCCTTCTGGCTTCTCGCTCTTACTTCTGTGCCACCCATTCATTTGTGGAATGAACTGACAAACTCATCCAGTAATTAAATTAATCCAGCCATGAAGAATAGCCAGGTATAGTCTGGACCGATTCTGAGACCTGGTTCACTATCTGCTCACATAAAGGTTGCGTTAAGTGCAAGGGTCAGCACTCGTAAGGATACAAGGACAACTTCTTTTAAGGGTAGTTCTAGCTCAAAGGGCTTTGTGTTCTTTCAAATACTTTTAAAGGCTTTAGATGTTTCTCTTCTTGCCATTTATAAGACAAGATTTTAGGGAGGGAAGAACAGCTTATATTTGGAAGACGTAGTTCAACATACTGTCAACACTAAGTAGTACTGAGAATCTCTCTACTCAATTCATGCAGCCTACATAAAAAAACATGGGATTAGGATCTATTGGATGCACTGCAGTTCTGAATGAGGACCTGCATCACTCTTACCACTTTGTGTCACCGTTTCTCTATTTCTAAAAAGAGAATATACTATCATCACAATCCTCTTTAAAAGCTCCTAACAAAAAAATCATTCCATGAGAGAGAAATCCTGAACAACATTAAAAATACAGCACAAAGAGCATCAGCATGACACATCCCACATTTCAAAAAGTCTGCACTGGCCTTTCCTCCATCCCCATATCTTGGAGATTTATCATCTCTGATCACCACGAAGCAGGCAGCCCTCTGCAACAGAGTAAATAACATGACGAAAGATTTACAGAAATCACCCTTTGCTGACAGCTGGAAAATAAGTATGCCCCTCACTCCTCGATTTACTGAAACAATGAGATATCCCTTTGGAACAGGGATCAACACAGATCTCTTATGCCTATTTCCTCTGTTTCTCACGGCACTTCTGGAAATGAATAGCCTACTGGCGTTTGTCAGCTGTCCCACACAGTCCCAAAACACATGCCTGTCTCAGCTACACCACTGGAGCAATCATTTGTAATGCCTTTTAAAATATTGGGATAAGACAGTGCAATACACTATCAAGCACACCTTATTTCCAAAGTATAAATATTGCACCGCATAATGTCTCTGTGCAACATGTGCACCTTTCACAGCATAGTCTTCGCAGAAGAATTACAAAGAGGTGGACTGCCATTCCTTATCATCGCACTGGAGGAACAAATATTGCCAAATCCCAACTAGGAAAAAGGAAGCAGATGAGTAGCCTGAATTCAAGCAGCAGAAGAGTTTCATGGCATGACACTCGAAAAACATTAAAATGAATTACCACCATAACTGCCCAAGAAAGTATATTGTTTCCATACTAACAATTTAAGAGAGCAAAGAGCATGAAGCAAGGCTGCAGCAGCGTAACTATGAACTAGACGTGTGCTATTGCCCCATTTGCTTAGACACTGATGTGGAACAGCTGACAATGGTGCGTAACACCTACCAAGACAAATCTGTTGCTGGGCCCTTTTCCTGATGGCAGAGCAATAAATAGGCCTGCAACGTTTGAACGTGTCAGCAGGGGTGACAGGGGTGACTTCAGCAAGGCTTTGGACGCTGTCTCCCATCACATCCTCCTAGGTAAACTCAGGAAGTGTGGGCTAGATGAGTGGACGATGAGGTGCATTGAGAACTGGCTGGATGGCAGAGCTCAGAGGGTTGTGGTCAGTGGCACAGAGTCTATTTGGAGGCCCGTAGCTAGCGGCATCCCCCAGGGGTCAGTACTGGGTCCAGTCTTGTTCAATGTCTTCATCAGTGACCTGGAGGAAGGCACAGAGTGCACCCTCAGCAAGTTTGCTGATGATACTAGAGTGGCTGACACACCAGAAGACTGTGTTGCCATTCCGAGGGACCTGGATAGGCTGGAGAGTTGGGCGGAGAGGAACTTGATGAAGTTCAACAAAGGCAAGGGCAGGCTCCTGCACCTCGGGAGGAGTAATCCCAGGCAGCAGGACAGGCTGGGGGTGGACCTGCTGGAAAGCAGCTCTGCAGAGAAGGACCTGGGAGTGCTGGTGGACAACAAGTGAAGCATGAGGCAGCAATGTGCCCCTGTGGCCAAGAAGGCCAATGGTCTCCTGGGGTGCCTTAGGCAGAGTGTTGCCAGC